TTTTTTTTTTAGACTTTAGAAACTCAGAAGCTGATCAAATATCGGGTTAAATATCGGTGGGGGGGCCGGTGTCCGATATTCAGTTTTAAGGCCGATACCGATAGGGGGCCGATTATATCGTGCATCCCTATAGAAATACATAAAAATGTTTTCATTTAAATGTACTTACCCTTCATTTCAGCAGGTAAATTACATGATTTGTCAATGAAGTTAGTATCTTTACTCTCAAAATAAGATCATTAGATATTATGGGCTTGAAATAAAACAATGCAATTGTTTTTCCTTATTTTAAATTTAAATAGTCATTTCCATTGGCATAGTGTCTCCCTTACCTCCTATATTCAATAACAAAGACACTTAATTTAGGTAAAATTAACTTACTTAGATTGACATTTCTTTTGCAGTGTAAAGAATAAAATGATTGCACTGTAGAGCCCTTCAACAGAATAAATATTCTCTAATGAATGTTTTAGCAATTTAACCATTTCATAACTGCAGGTAAAACAATAATGGTGGCTGCAAACTTTGGGGAAGAGTAACCAGGGGGACATATTGGATGGAAATGCTCAGCAGCATACTGACCTCCGCATGGTGTTCCTCATTCTGCTGAAGGACCTCGATGACCAGCTCGGACAGCCGGATAGTGTCTTCCAATTTTTTAGCAGGGGTGACTAAACGGCCTACGTTTTCTGAAAACAAGTGTTAAGAATCAACAAAGTCAGCTTTTATCAGGAAGAAAAACTCCTGGATAAAACCTTCATGCAACCTTTAGTGTCCTAACATAACCATATGTTTTCCTGACATACCAAACATGCACGTTATCTAATTAAATAACAAACCATGGATTTAATGGTCTGAGCAACTCAAGAACCTGGAATCAGCTGTTGTCACGCAGATTGTTCATATTCCATCTGTTAAAAACAAACTTCTTACTGTAACTGTAACAATCTGCACGTCTGCAAACATTGATTTCCATTTTAGGGGTTACACATCAATAAATCAACCCATTTAACCCATGCATTGACTTACACTATATTGCCAAAAGTATCCGCTCACCTGCTTTGGCTCACCTATGAGTTTCAGTAACGTAAACCTTAGGGGTTAATTAGGGTGCGATTCCATCTTTTGCAGCTACAACAGCTTCAACTCTAATCAGTCTAATGGGAAATTTTGACCATTCTTTCAGAGGCGCATTTGTGAGGTCACACACTGCTGCTGGACGAGAAGGCCAGGCTCTCAGTCTGCGCTCTAATTCATCCCAAAACTGTTCTAGAAGGTTGATTTTAATACTCTGTGCAGGCTTATGCAGTTCATCCACACCAAACCCTGACATCCATGTTTTTATGGACCTTACTTAGTGCTCTGGTGATAAATCAGGCTTGAAGAGGAAAAGGTTAGTTTCAAATTGTTCTCACACAGCTGGAAGCAAAAAACTATCCAATATCCACCAAACTTTAAAGTTGGAATAATGCAGTCAGACGGGTAGCATTCTCCTGGCAGCTGCCAAGCCCAGACTCATCCATCAGATAACGATTCATTATTCCATACAAGGTGTTTCCACTGTTCTGGAGTCCAGTGGAACACTGGAAAAAATTGAAAATACGGGCATTTTTCTTGAAGAGGTAAGTCAGACTTTTTGCCAATGGAAAAAGAGAATTTACATTTAAAAGGCGAGATAGAAAGAAGGACGGCCACCCATCACTGGAAACTTTGGTTTAACCACTCATTCCATCCCCATATAACCAGATTAGATCCAGCCGGTGGGCTGCAAAGGAGATGAGGTTGGGTGCCGCCCAGAGTGTCCCAGATGCTGCAGCCCTGGAGAACAAGCAGGAGTCTGAGCAAGGTCAGGGAAAAAGATCAGAACAGGAACAGGAGGGTTCAGAGTTCCAGGACTCTACAGACAGTTCAGGCAGAATGTTCAGACAGGAACCGTGGTTGAGAGGCAGAACTGATCCGGATATCAGGAACACTGCGGAACTCTAAATCCGCTCTCTCCAATTAGCCAAGACAGGAACAGGGCATGATGAGAGGCAGATCAGGGTCAGGATATCAGGAACACTACGCAATGCTAAGAACCATCTCTCCAATGGCCCCCGATAATTAACACTAGAAAAAAAGGCATCAGCGTCAACATCAATAATCTGGCCACAATTGCTGGGACTGAGCCGCATAAATAGAAGCAGCAGCAGGTGGATTAGATGAGAGGTAATTGGAAACCGGGCAGAAGTTAGGCAGGTGAATGAAATGAGCAATAAGCCAGCCATCAGTGCCAAGATCATAACAATTTCAAGTGCATAATATCTAATTATCTTATTTTAAAATACTAATTCCTACAGAGCCCCTCTAATGACATGGTCAAAAAAAATTTTTTTATTGTGGCCACGAAGTAGTATTTCGTGCGTACGTTAAACTTATTGCGTGGCCACGAAGTAGTATTTCGTGCGTACGTTAAACTTATTGCGTGGCCACGAAGTAGTATTTCGTGCGTACGTTATA